ATCTCCATCAATTCCCACTTTTCTTGGTTTGATCATCATCTAGATCATTCATAGGTCAGAATCCTATCAAAGAATTGGTTGAATTGATCAAGAATTGTGCTATCCATCTTCTCCATCCAAGTTGCAAGAAGGTTTCAAGTACAAGATTCAAGGAGTTTGCACAAAAGATATTGCATACAGAATTCATCATCAAGGTCACTGATCAATCCCCAATCACTGCAAGCATCATATCCAAGGAGTTGCATAGCTATTTTCACCATTTGCATCAGGTTAGAGTTCTGTTCGAATTGCTTAGTTTAGTTAGGATTATAGAAATTTGTTAGCATAGAATGGTTAGGCATAGTTAGGTGATTGATTTTGGTAAGTTTGGACAAGTTTCATGGAGTTTGACCAGAGTGCACTAATTCTGTTAGAGAGCATAACATCAATGATAATGCAAGATAACCTTAGATTAGTGGCTTAGAATGATCAGTGGAAGATGTAGATTATGCTAGGGTAAAGATTGGCAAGGTTTGGTATGGTTGATGACAGGTGTTCATGGTGGATCCTATCTGTTACCCCTATCGGGTTTGTTTTTGGAGTGAGTTTTAGAAGGAGATGATAGAATGGTCGTGTAGAGGGGAAGAAATGGAGTGAGTTTGGTTTTTAAAGTATGTGATTTCATGTCCTGTGGAGGGAGAATGATGAGCTCGAAAATGCTTGCATGGGAATCAATTTCTGAAACCCTAATGGCTGGAGGAAGAAGACGATACGTGGACCCTTGGATCAGAAGGAGAAGTTTGACTTGACTCCACATCTCACGGCTAGCATTCAATCTGAGAATTGGTGGGAAATTTCAAATAATGAAACGCACCGTTTCATTTAGTAGGGGGAATTGGGCTCAGCTTCTATTGGCACCCCCACGCGCGTGAAAGCCCAACAATTTGAACTGATGGTCTTGCTATTCTCACCCCCTCCCCCTATTTCTTTATAATTCATTTTAATTTCTTTTCATTTTACATTCATTTTTAAAAAATCATATCAAATTGAAAAAACATTATTTTTTAATAATTCTTTTTGCATAATTTTCTTTAAAGAGTCAAGAAAATTATAAAAAATAAAAATTGCATTTTATTTTTTATTTGATATTTTTCCCATATTTTCCAAATAAATGCCTATTTTAGATGTTTCATTTCATGCATGATTTTGTTAATTTTGTTCTAATAAATGCTACAATATTTTTCACCCATTCTTTTTAGGTTGATTAGTAGACATTGGTAACTTGTACATGCAATTTAGTTCATATTTTTAGGAATTAATTTGAGGTGATTAGTTTAGGTGAAAACAACATGAATAAAATTAGGGTTTTAAATCAACTTAGGTGAGATAGTTTAATTCTTTTAGGAAATTTTCATTTGATTTTTGGGGTATGGGCTATAGGGGTTATGGGTATAGGATAGATCCCCTTAGAAATCACTAGGATTCCCCTACTGCTATTGGTATATTACTGCTATATTTGATTGATTGGTGTGGTGTGCCCTTTGGGGATTATTGATTTGTCTGTGTGGGTATTGAGATTGTCTGAGGATTGGGGAAGCTGAAGACTTGTGATGTTGAAGCCATTGGAGATCCAGAGCTTAAAGACCAACTTTCAGAGTTGGTGAGGAGATTCCTGCTGGCAGCTGTTGAGGAGATTAGGGTTTAGGAGCTAGGCAGAGCTCTAGATTAGAAAGCTTGATTTTCAAACATGGAAGGTTTTGACTGCCTCCATTCCTCTCTGTGATACAGAGTCTCTCTAAGACACTCACCCCCTTCCTTTGGAAGGCTTGGTGCTACTGTCTACGGGATAGAACTCTTGAGAGAAAATGTCTTATGTGTTAGTAGCAGTTGGTTTGCCACCCTTGGTAGTCAACTAATTGCTTAACACCCAATTCACTCTTGTGATTGATCCCTCAGCTTGGAGGATAGGACTTGAAGACAAGCCATTGAAGACTGAAGGTTGATGATCAAGCCCTTGCTGGAAGGCTATGGAGATGGAGATTGATGCTTGCTGAAGCTTGAAGTCAGAGCTGCTGATGCTGTTTATTTTTCTGCTGTATTTCATTTCTTGATGTATTGATTGGTTTTCCTGACTGTATTGTTTGTTGTTTACCCTGTTGGGTTGAAAGTGAAGCCTATTCACTTTTGCCTATTGTTTTCTAGGTTCGAGGTTGAGTGGGACTCCCTTGCCTCGCTTGTATTGCCGCATCCATGCATTTTATTTGCTTTACTGTATATATCTGATATTGTTTCTGTTTCCGTCTATTCCCTTAGGATCTCTGTTTCTCTCTATGCAAGAGAGGAGCATGATAGACATTAGGTCTTAACCCATGCGTGATAACATTAGGTTAGTTTGATTCCCGTCGCACCCGTAGGTTAGAGTTCTGTCTCTTTTTTCTCAAAACAAACAGAAAAACACAATAAATATTTCAAACACAATAAAAGACACTTCTTCCGTAAAAGAATGTGAACTCATCAAGACGTCATTTTTGTCCGCTTGGACCAGTAATCAGGAAAACCCTTTTTCAGAAGGAATAAAAACAATCAAGACAGACGTGTGTCGTACGTGGCCCGAACTACGTTTGCTCTGATCTTTCATGCTGTGTGAAAGTACGTAGGCATAGGATGCGATATCCTAGCGAGCAACCTTCCCCTCCTTTCCCGTAGGTAGGCGAACTACGTTGACTCTGATTTCTCGTTCCAGACGGGAATACGTAGGCATAAAGTGCGATACTTTGCTGAGTCCTTTTATTTTCTTTTTAACCCTTAACCCTTAGAGTAGATAGAAATAACAATCCATACCCGAAAACAAGCGTGGATCCCGTCGAGTACGACGGACGTGAGGGGTGCTAATACCTTCCCCTTGCGTAACCGACTCCCGAATCCAGGTTTTGGTTGCGATGACCATACCTTTCCCGTGTTGTGCGAGGTTTACTCTGAGCGTTTCCTTTCTCTCCCGTGGGATAAATAACGCACGGTGGCGACTCTTCTGTTCAGCCGGCGCCGATTTTCGCAGTAGCGACACACACAAGCAAGATCATAAGCATTGGTTCTCCTGCCCTTCTCTGTGGGTTTATTTCTGAAGGAGATCACTAAGCACCTGTGTTTTTCTTATCTGCTTTATCTTTGTTTGTGTTTACTAGCCTCTAGCATAAATACCAAAAACATTTTACAATTTTTGTTTGTTACTTCTTCTCTGTGTGTTTAGGATTTTGCAGGAAGTTTGATAGCAAAGGCATGACTTGGAGTCAAGTGTGGCTATTTAGTTATGGTCAATATCAGATCTAAGTTTGACCTAATATTGGTCAAACCATCAAGTGTTTGCTTCAATTGCAAGTTATTGATGTTATTGTGCTATTTTCTCAGACAATGTGTATTCAAAGTAATGTTTTTTTGTGTTGAAACTCATCAGATTATCAAGCAATGATTTATGGAAAAGTCTGGTGCAAGTTATCATGATCAAGGGTCCATCAATCCAGACTATGTTCACCTGTGGATTTATTTTCTCAGAGTTTGATTCATGGAAAATTTAAAGTGATTCAGAACTTATTAATCTGAGATTCAGAGAATTATGGCAAAGATCAAAGTGGATGGTCGATGTTTCAGTTGCAAGTTATTCAGTGGTTCAAGGAATTACTTCATTCATATTAATCAGTTGTTTTTGGAAAGTTCAGAATTGGTTTTAGATTAAAATCGAGATTTCATTTCATATCCATAATCCATTTATCCAAAGTCTCCTGACTATTTCTTTTAAACCCACTTATCCAATGTCCAAAATTATTCATATCCATTTGAGATCCATTTTCATTTTTTCAAATTATCCTCTCTTTTTTTTTCATTTTTCTATATCCATTTCCAATTAATATCCAAATCCATATTTCATTAACTAATTTCCAATATTCATATTTTCAATTAGTATCCAAATCCACATTTCATTAACTAATTTCTAATATTCATATTTTCAATCCATTTCAAGTCCATTTTATCCAAATATCCAAAACCAATTTTCAAAAATATCCAATTCACAAAAAAATTACATCATACTCCTATAATTATACTCATACCCCTACACTAAAATTTTTTAGACCAAAATACCCTCGTATAAATAGTTATAATTTTAGAAATTTTACTTTCCCATTTCATTTGCATTTGAAGACTTCCGGAACTACCATTTTTTATCTACAAATCGGAACACTTAACATAAGTCTTCCGGTACACAAAGTGTAAACCGGAACATATTTCAGAAGTCTTTCGATTCAGAAAACATATACCGGAACTCTTAGAGTAAGTCATCCGGTGTTATAAGATTTCTGGAAGTCGTTGATGAAGACTTCTGGTTTTTGTTTTTTTTCCGTTTGTTTACCGGAAGACTTAAGTATGTCTTCCGGTATTATGAGTTTTTTAAATTTACCGGAAGTCTTTTTACAAGTCTTTCGGTTCATCTTTTTTTTTAAATCTTTTTTTATGTTTTTATTTTGGCAGTGGTGCGCACACGCGATAGAGACAGTTGAATCCCTTTTCGCGGACTAGGACAGGGTGAATCATCGAGAATGGCTGAAAAAGAGCATATTGATGCATCTGCGAGCCTATTGGATATCCAGGAGGACCGTACGATACCTCTCTTTTAGTTAATTACGAACATCATATTGCTAGGCATATATGGTTCGGTGAGGTAAGTAAACGAAAATTATTTAATATTGAATAAAATTCAAATTTTTAATGTTGAATTTTATAATATATTTACTTTTAATTGTTTTCAGGAGAGAGGTTCGAAGAAAGAGTTAAAGGTAGCAGGACATGGGTTGAAGTTGATTCAGAGGGTTCCACTACAGCTACCAAGAGAGATGGAGGGTTGGATATCTAGGTCTGGTCTAGCTTCACTCCAGAGAACCAGTTTGACAGAAATAGACACGAATCTGGTTTCCGCATTTGCAGAGGGATGACATATAGAGACATCTTCATTTCACATGTCGTTTGGTGAGATGACGATTACTCTAGATGACGTCTCTTGCCTGCTTCACTTGCCCATCAGGGGAGTCTTCTGGAGCCCTCAAGATATCAATGAAGGACTTGCTATTGAGTGGGTTGTTGATTACTTAGGAGGGTCACAGAGAGTGGCACAACAACATGTCTGTGACTGCAGGAGTTCTTATTATAAGTTGGAGTGGTTATATGATCGATTTGTAGAGCATATAGCTGCTTCTAGATGAAATTATGCGACTAGAGCTTATCGGTTGATGTTAGTGGGTTCCACTACTTTTGCAGACAAGACGTTTATGCTTGTCGAGGCACGATACCTATCATTATTTATAGACTTGGAAGGGTTATCAAGATATAGTTGGGGAGTAGCTGTGTTGGTTACCCTCGATAGATATCTCAGAGATACTTCCATGTTCAGTTGTAAGCAGCTCAGTGGTTATCCGACTCTCCTACGGGTATTTATTTTAATTTAGTATTTTTTAATTAATTTTATTTAGTATATTAATTTTATTTATATAGTTTATTATGTTTAATTATTTTAAATTTAGTAATAGTATTAATTTTGTAACAGTGTTGGATTCATGAGTATTTTCCAACACTTGGAAAAAAGGAGAGAATAGGATACCAGCTAATAATGCGGGTCTCCCTATAGCAATGAGATAGTCCTATAGGCAAGGTGTCCTGAAGGTGGATGACTTGCGACCTATTCTGGACGAGCTGACACCTGCCGATGTCATATGGCGCCCATTCGAGAATCATAGAGTATGGCGTCATTTTAATGAGTTATGTCTATATAGGGGATGTCTGAGGTGGGGTGACACTATTGTTCCATACTTGCCTGACAGATGTATGCGTCAATTTGGATACAGGCAGTATGTTCTACATCCACCTCTTGATTATACGATGGCTGGTGATATTGATGTTGAGTGGATTAGTTACCATCAGAGCGTTCGGGATGATGAAAAACTTCTTACAAACTCCTTTTAAGGTGTACCTCATCAAAGACCCAATATATGGGGCAAAGATGAGCCACAGAGGGACAACTCCTCTCTATGCTTTCTAGTTGCTCGAGAAAACTCTGTCATACTTTAGCAATTGTTGAGTTCAAGATGAGTGTCAAGGAATCATGTTATCACCCCAAGAAATAACCTTTTGCCTTTAAACATAAGATTTATTGCAAAGGGGATTTCCATCCAATACCCACACAAGGGCATCATTTTGGAAACCTTCGAGTCATTGTACAAATCATTCTCATGCACTAATCGTGTCGCTTCGCTCTAGCATCAAGTCATGCATTTCATCGCATTCTTCAGGCATAGCTCCATAACATAAAAGGTCAAACAATAAAAGCCTGATCTTGCTTGGTACCTCACAAAGCCTCAACCGTCAATGGTATAGCCCAAAATCAACATACTTATGCATTGATTATTCATGCATCATCGATCATGCATAACTCAAAATGTATTTTATGCTCATCTGCATTTCCTCAAAGACATGTTGACAATCTAGGCTTCAACATTCGTGTTGATGACGATTTGTCCTATTGACAATCTAGGCATCAACCCCCCGTGTTGATAACAATATGTCTTTTTGGAAATCTAGGTATCATCATTCGTGTTGGCAATGATTTGTCTTATTGACGATCTAGGTATCAACTCACGCATTGACGACGATCTGTCTGATTGACAATCTAGGTATCAACATTTGTGTTGACGATGATTTATCCTGTTGTCGATCTAGGTATCAACCCGTGTGTTGATGATGGTCTGTCTGGTTGACAATCTAGGTATCAGCATTTTTGTTGACAATAATTTGTTCTGTTAATGATCTATGTATCAACCTACATGTTGATGATGATCTTTCTAGTTGACAATCTGGGTATCAACATTCGTGTTGATGATGATTTATCATGTTGATGATCTAGGCATTAACACTCGTGTTGATAATAATTTGTCTTTGTCTTCAATACATTTTGCATACCCTAATCATTCATATATCATACATAGAAGCAAATTCTAATCATGCATAACCTGAAGTTTACTCTGCACTCACTTTTTCATTGACCTAAGTCTTATTGTTGATTTATATATCTCTTGACTTCAAAGTCCAATTTTATTTGGCACCTTTAAACCTTAGTCTGGTTTTCGCAGACATCTCCAAATTGCAATTTTATTTGGTGCCCCTAAACCATAGTTCGATTTTCGTTGGCATAAAGTCCAATTTTGTTTTTGGAACCTTTCGCTAGAAGCTGGTATATTTTACCGATGCCTTCGGTCAATGTCCAGATTGTTCCTAGCATCTTCTTCTGGAAGTTGGTTTATATTACTAATGGCTACGGTAAATTCTAGCTTTGTCTGGCACATTCAGAGGTAGTGCTCTGTCTATCCTGATGTTTCCTAGAAATTCATTGTTTTGACTCTTTCATTGAAAGGAATTCCCTAGAAGATTGGATGATTTTCCTTTCAGAAAACTCTGATATTTTTGTTTGGATTGATTCATGTTGAAAAATCTCCAAAGCTTTGTATGGATGGTCTTCTTGTAAGAGGACTCCCAGTTTTTTTCTTATCTTGGATTAATTCCCTTTTTAGAATCTCCAAAACCTTTGATTAGAATAATTTCTAGTGAGAAATCTCTAAAACTCCCTGATATATTCCCCAATATCTCTTTCTTTAGCAAAATTGTCATCCCCAGTGAGTCTTTCACCATTTTTGTCCTTCTCATTTTCTAAGGGATACCATTACTACATACCTCTGTTATTCCCTGCACGTCCACCTTTTGTTCTTCATCCATCATAAAACCTCTTGCTAGGGTTCATATCACATCTCATCATATCACTAGCACACCAAAATAAAAAAGAGTCTTCCATACATTCACAACATATCATTTTCATTTCATTTCATCAAGGGACAAAATTTGGGTCCTTTAGTATTTAACAATCTCTCAGCGAGATCATATGAAGAACAACCTTCTTCATATTCTCTGGTTGAAGATACTTAAATATGAGCAGTTATCATACCCAAATTTTACTCCGCATTCAATAAATCGATACATTCATCATGACATTTGCATCATCTACATATCATAACATGCATTTCTTTCCATATAATGCCTATAATGTCGACCAGAATAAGGTTTTTGTTCTATGAACATACTGGTTGAATCAATTTTCAAATATATGTAAAATTAGCATACGAAAAATTTCAAAATCAAGCTTGCAGACGTCAGTTTTATTAATTTACAATTTGCGTAGTTTAACCTAATGTGCTCGTTTTATTTTTTTTGGCTCCTTTTTTTGGTCGTAGTTTGATAAGCTTGAGCCTTTTCAACCAGTCATTTTTACTTCAAAATTTGATCAAAACCTATATGTTTTCCAAAAGTTTATTTCGCACTGATCATTTTGGTGCATTCATTTTATTTTTCTGGGCACTTTTACACCCAATTTTTATTCACTTTAATCCTTTTTATTTTTGTCTTTTATCAAATTGTTCAGAAAAGTAAATAGGATTAATCATATTTTCATTTTGATTTTATTGGGTTTATTTAAAAATGTGTGAATTTTATTTGTTTTAATTGATTTAAATTGATTTTGATCTTTTAAGTTATCTAGAAGGGGCAGTGTGGGCATTTTAAACTAATTGGAAATGTGTGTTTCTTTGTGTTGATCTCTAACCGTTAAATCAAGTTAATCAAGGTATTACAATTGTTATCCATGCCCACCTCTCTTGACCAATCAAAATTAAGAAAAGGAAATAAAAAAAGAAGATAAGATCAAAGAAGAATAGGAAAACATGTGACAATAAAAGCTCATTTATTTGTGGTAGCCAAAAGAAATCAAGGAGAGGAAGGACTAATGAGAACATACCACACAGCCCTTTGGATGCTTCCATTTTGGGTGACACCCACACGGAACATGCTATAAGTGAGGAGAGTAAAAAACTGATTATTCATTTTGGGCAAAAACAAAACGTGGCCTTGAAAACCTCCTCTCTCATTTTTTAACTTTCCATTTTTCTTCTACTCTCCCTTTTCTAAAAACTCAAGCTCCACGATTTTCAAAAAAAATAATAATAAAAGTCACTCTTCATCTTTCTCAATATGCCTCTCTTGATATCATTCACTTCAAACCCACCACAACAAAACTTTTGTTCAACCTTCCGTTAATCCACCACCAAACACATCCTCTCAAAATCCACTCTCTCACCCAATTCCTTCCTTTGAGATTTTTGTTTCCAAAGCAAAAAGAAAGAGAGGTGAGCACTCAAATTGGAATGTCTATCTCTTTCATTCTCAACATCCTCTTCTCACTATCCAAGAAAAAACGCAAAGGAATTGAGAAAATATCACAGAGGATAACGAGTGTTTGGGTCAAGCAATTGGCGATGAAACGCGGTGTTGCTTTAATAGTTATTGGAGCCTTTGATTTTGTGTTTGATTATTGACTTTTTTGTAGGGTAGTGATGGTCGTGAAAAATGAATATGATACGTGTAGATCTTCCTTCTTATATTCCCATTGAATGTCGTGAGCTCGCGCCTACATCGGCCTGACAAAATTGACGACTCTGCAACATTGCTCATACCATTACGACATCAATGTTTACAACACAAAATGCACCCAACATTGCAGTATCGACTATATTTCCTTTGTGTATGTTATTTACAGCCTAGATATATTTAAGTGTCAATTCGGTGTTGCTGCATTTTATTTTGATTGTCGTAAATAATTTGTAAATATAATGTTTCTGTTGTTGCTGGCTTGTAACTCTTTTTGCATTACGTTAATTACGTTGAATCAGATTTTGATCCGTGAATTCAAAATTCATATGTTGTTATGCCGCTAAAATTTCATTTTGATATATTTAAATGATTTCGTCGCGTTATGATCCTTATGTATGACATTTTGCTTCCTTTGTCACTGCGTATAAATCGGCTTTGAGCATATAATATAGCTTTATGTGCATCTCTTTGAGATATGATTATTTTGAGGTCGATTATGAGGTTTTTACACCCGTACGGTTTGATGTCTTTGTTTAACCATTATGTGCGTTAAGTTTCATTTTAATTTTCGTCTCGTTGCATTTTGGTTTTCATTCTTATTTTGATTGACTTTGCGATAATGTGTTTCGCGCCAGCAAATCATTTTAATTCATGAAGGCTTATAAAGATCCAACAACGTTATACTTAAATTGAATTTATATTCTATTTATGTGGCTTTCCATGTCTTTGCGTTACACGACTTTGATTCGCGTCCTCGCATTTTGATCTTGATCTGTGCATGTTTTATTTTTGCTTTACTTATTTCGATTCGATTATATTGAATGTGTGATGTAAATATGTCGTGTGCATCTTTCATTTTAGTATACTTTGTATTGACTTTATTGAATATCCTCACTGCGAGCCCGATTCAGAAAAATGTATCTTTCACCTCCGAGTTGTATTGATTGCTTAACTTTATTGCCTTCTTTTTTATTGTTTTGTTGTCTTAGTTTAATTCTAACTTAAGATTAAAATCAATCACCTCTCAAAAGGACCAAAAAAATAAGTGCTCGGTCCAACATCAAGAAATTTTCGTAAATTAAACCATGGACCATTTCCATTCCATATCATTTAACTTCAAAACCATTTCACAAACCATTTTTCACTAACACGATGAAC